TGATTCAGAAGGATAACAGAAAGAGGGGACTGACTGACTGATGGTTAATTGGAAGATGGCTGATGGTTTGGAGAGAGAAGAGAGGTTAAAGAATCATGTTGGTGAGGACGAGCTAGGGGAGGAGGTGTGGGTTAGAGACTGGCTTTCGTGAAACAAAGTTGGAGGTGGTGTGCTGCAGCAGTAACACAGGAGTGGGTGACAGTAAGACTAGCTTAACAGTAATAGGGTGGAGGGAAACGCAATTGGAGATGAGAACATTAAGGAGCTAAAATTTAGCGGTTTATATTTTATCTCATTTTGAACACATCTTAATGTTTTGTGGTGGTTGGTCTATCTTTCCAACAGGTATGTTGTTCTCTGAAGGAAGGAACTACATTTGTCTTGTCACTGCTTTCTCCCTCATGCCCAGCACAGTACCTGACCCATAAAATACTCAATAAATATTTACTGATGGGCAAAGAGGTCTTTTCTTTAAAAAAATTCTAGAAGTTGTTTCTGAATTGAGAGCTGCACCCTAGGACAATTGTCTTGACTCCTTATGGACCTCTTTCTGTGAGCTGCCTTGTCAGTAATGACATTTACTGCTTCTATGGAAGCACTCCTGTCTAATTCTCCCTGGTATTTAATATAGGGCTTGCTGAGGAAGTAATTCACTCCCTTACACAGTATTCCCTTCATTAGGACCCACAAGGGAAACTTTTCTAAGATTTCATTGCTTGGAAGACCTGTGACTCTCTTAAGTGAACTGACACTTTGTGTGCCTTGTAAGCAAATATGTACTCCTCTTTGCTTTGCCCATTACAGTCAGATTTGTGGCTCAGGCTCAACTTAGCAATTATGCAGAAAAATGTGGTATCAATTTCTTAGGAATAATTTTACCCTTTGCTTTATCTGGTTCTCTTTTCCTGGTTTCCTCAAGTCGGTGATTTCTTCTCATGTTTCATTTCTATTCTAGAATATTTCTTGAATATGTAAAACTAAAGTGTGTTTCCCCAAGGTTCAGCTGGATGGATTTTATCTTGACCACTTCGACTGGTGCATGCTTCTGGTGATCAGGTTAAAAGTGAGCCTGTTATTTCATAACCTATAATAGTGAAGATTTAGCTTATAACAATTTATAAACAATACACGTTTCTCAGAATTTATTGACCTAATCTTTTTGAGTTAAGTCTGGAATTTCTACATAGAATGTTAAACATGTCACCTATTTGGGGCTTAATAACAAGCACAAAATTGCTTACAAAGAGTAAACACATTTTTGAGCATTTATCAATTAAATCGAAAGCTCCTATCTAAGACTTTATTAATTTAATTAAAGAATCTTATGAATTTTTTGAGCATATATTTGCTTAATCAAATAATTGAAAAAGGTGCAAAAAGAACTAAGTCATGACTAAGGACTTTGGGAACCTTATTAGAAATGCAAATGCAATAATAAGGCAGAGATCAAGATGACAAATATGGACGAAGGCCACTGAAGAATGAGAAGGATAACTGGAAATAAGAGGACATAAGAAACTCTATAGGACCAGCCACAGAGGAATACTGGACACAAAAATCTACACATGAAAGAAAATGAAAAAGAAAAACAGGAAACATGTCACAGCTGTGAGCTTTGCAATACACGATATCGGAGAGTCATTAAATACACTGAGAGTACATAAATACTGTCATTACGGGAAAGTTTATTCCAGAACACAAGCTGAGATACCTACTATATTTTACAAGAGTTGCTTTCTGCAGATGGAAATATGGAACTCACAGGGTAGAGAAGGATACACAAGTACAGCTCAGCAATGGTGCCTACACCAGTGAGGCCAAGACCAGACCACCGTTTGTAATTTGGTTGGAGACGACTGTAAACTTCTTCCTGTAAAGTTTGATCAGTGGTCTCATTAAGTATTGTATCTGAGAAGAATGAGATTGTTGATTGTGTTGGCCATGATATAGATGCATAGGAAAATAAAATACATCAATATTTTATCAACAAGTGTAAAAATATTCCAGAATGGTATAAGTTATGTTGGCAAGGCAAGTTTTACATATTTTTGTAAGCTACCTTGCATCCTTTCTTGGGAGAAGCAGGGCTGTTCATTAAAGAATATAAAACCAGACTATATAAAGTTATATTTTCAGTATTGAATTTAAAAAATGACTCTGGGAGTGGAATGTTTATTATTAATATTATTAGATCTATTAACTATCATATATGGTGTGCTTCTAATGTGCTAAGCAAAGGCTAAACATTTTTTTTTTTTGTCTTACTCATTTAATCCTCATTGTGATCTGATTACAGGAATGATCAGGATTCCCATTCATGCATACAGCAAATATTTATTGAGTTCCTACTATGCACTGGCAACTTTTCTCATAAGTCAGACAAAAACCTTGCTTTCATGTGTTTCCTTACCAAAGGAAGACAATAAATACAGAATCTAACAGAATACCAATGGTAATAAATGTCTAAATGTTGGGAGAAATATAAAGCTAGACAAGGAAATGGAGAGGGACAAGGGGTACATTTTCAAAGAATGGTCGGGGAGAGCCCCTCTGCTGAGGTGACATTTGGGAAGAAACCTGCATATGGTGAGAAAGTCAGTCATTTCATAAACACCAAGTTCTGGGCTAATTCTACCAGAGGCCTCAAGGATGGTTTTGAAAGTAAAATCTCAACTCCTGGAATTCCATCTTCCAAAGTCAGGGCTTCTGCTGCTGCGTGGTGGCAGCCCTGCTGTGGCCGCAGCAGTGGGGCTTGGCTTCAGTTCCATGGCAAAAAGATAAACATGTCTTTGATGCAAACAGATTTGAAAACCAGCTGGGATCTGTTCTGCCGTGTGAAAATAGTGAGAGGGGAGTGTCTTTGGGAGCTGTGTTGTGTTGTGTCGGCACTTCTAAAGCATTACTTGATGAGGTACCTGCAGAATGTTCACATTGCTTGAGGGTAATTCATGTTGTGTCCTGCACCCAAGTCCTACAGGATCAAGTTGACAGAGTGAAAACACATTTGCCTCTTTTAACCTCTTCTCACTAGTTTTCCCTGCCATATTATAGTGGCTGCTAGAAGGGGATGCAAAGACTGTCCTATTTACACTTCACAACCCACCTTTGTTCAGCTAGAATTCCTGTCACCAACCCTTCTCTCCCTGATCCCCTCAATACAGAGAATGGACAGTCCCTGGCTGGTCCCATGGTACCGTGAATATAGACTGTGTTTAATCACCTCCTCCAGGGTAGGAATGAGCCCTGGTGGTAGTGATTGTTCATGAGAAGGAGGGGAGAGCATACTGTTGGTGGGAGCCCGGGCTGAGGTAAGTCCCCAAGGAAAGCCTGGTCCCTAAATATGCAAAATAACAGTCTTTGAGTTGATGTAGATTTGAATAAACCTCTGAAGTTGTTGGAGAGGTCATAGAAGGGCTCAGTAGAATTCTAGACTGTTTGTTCATTTGCTCACGTGTACATTTTCCACGTACTTATTAGGCACCTTCCATAACCACAGCACTGTTCTTATCCTGGAAGGTGGTCTCATGGGACAGACAGATTTGAACAAGACCATTGCATTCAGTATTACAAGTGGTGCAAAAGAGGTACACATGGGGTGATGTTAGAAACACAAAAAGTGACTGCTGGGGAGTTCAGAGTAGCTTCAGAGGATGTGTTCTTGGGGGTGGGCCTTAGTGGAGAAGTAGAATTTGCCAGAGAAGGAAAGAATGAAGGCAGTTTTCTAAGATAGAGGGGATGGCATGTCCAAAGGCAGAATTCAGAAGTGGCCTGGCTGACTCAGGAAACAGCAATGGGGCATGAGATGCCTCTGCAGGGAACCAAAGGAGGGATGGCTGGAGGGGAAGCTGGCTGGCCCAGATGCAGGGCCTTCTCTTCCTAGCCAAGGAGCTCAGGCCTTTTTCTCTCCCTCTGTGGAGTGGAACCGTAAGTTTTGGGAACATTTAGTGGATAAAAAACCTGATGCCCAGAGGGCTAATGATGTTGAACATCTTTTCATGTGTCTGTCAGCCATTTATATGTCTTCTTTGGAGAAGTGTCTGTTCATGTCTTTTGCCCATTTTCAAACCACGTTGAGATAACACCTTACACCAGTTAGAATGACAAAAATTAACAAGACAGGAAACAACAAATGTTGGAGAGGATGTGGAGAAAGGGGAACTGGAACTCTCTTACACTCTTGGGAATGCAAGCTGTGCAGCCACTCTGGAAAACAGTATAGAGTTTCCTCAAAAAGTTAAAAATAGAGCTACCCTATGACCCAGCAATTGTACTACTGGGTATTTACCCCAAAGATACGGATGTAGTGAAAAGAAGGGGCACTTGCACCCCAGTGTTCATAGCAGCAATGTCCACAATAGCCCAACTGTGGAAGGAGCCAAGATGCCCTTCAACATATGAATGGATAAAGAAGATGTGGTCGATATATACAATAGACTATTATTCAGCCATCAAAAAGGATGATTACCCATGCATCGACATGGATGGAACTGGACGGGATTATGCTAAGTGAAATAAGTCAAGCAGAGAAAAACAATTATCATATGGTTTCACTCATATGTGGTTCCACATATGGTATATGTATATATAGTATAAGGAATAGCACGGAGGACATGAGGGGAAAACAAGTGGGGGGAGTTGGAGGGGGAGATGAACCATGAAAGACTCTGGACTCTGGGAAACAATCTGAGGGTTTCAGAGGGGAGGGGAGTCGTGGGATGGGGTAGCCTGGTGTTGGGTTTTAAGGAGGGCATGTGTACAGCACTGGGTATTATATGCAAATAATGAATCATGGAACACTACATCAAAAACTAACAATGTACTGTTTCGTGACTAGCATAACATTAAAAAAAAAGAACCTGACACTCAGATGGTGACTTGATTAAACTAGATATTTAAAAATAGAATATGATTTAGGAGTTACTGCTAAGTGAGAAATTCCTGAAGATTTTTGTTTTGTTTGCACATGTATGCATCATTTATGTATGATTTTTCTCCCTTAGTTACGCTTGTGTGCAAGTGATGGACAATGTGTCATAAGATAAGGGCTGTGGATTCTTACAGTCATGAAAAGTGGGTTCTGTCAATGAGTTTACTGCACAGCATGAAGACTGATGCTTTGGACGCTCACCCACACCATGCAGGTGGGAGTATAAATTGGAACAGCATTTCTGAAGGGCAATTTGGCAACGTGCATCAAAACAACCTATGCAATCTACACAGCATTGACCTCAAACTCTTTTTTAAAGAATTTATCCTAGAGGAATGACCAGAGATGCATTTGGAGTATTTATTCTTGGTAGCATATTTATGATGTCAGAAAATGAGATCACCTACATTTTCTAATAAAATAATTACAGTATAATGGAGAGCACTGTTGATGTTAAAGGGATTAAACAGAAGTTTATTTGTTTTTATGGAAATGTGTTCCTAAGTGAAAAATACAGTTTATAAAATAATATATACATGACTTTAATCTTGTAAAAATTAGATGTATAATCTACTTATGTGTATGTATAAAAAAAGTCCAAAAAATTATATACAAAGATGTTAATAGTGGTAGCAGGATAATAAATAATTCTCAAGTCTTACTACTGGTTTATCTATATGATTTCTAGGGTTTTTTGTTTGTTTAACAATAGACATGTATTACTCTATAGCTTGTGCAATATAATTAATTTCCCCACATGTATGCACACTGGCTGGTTGACTGTTTACCATACCTTTTTAAAATTCTTCTGTTATTCCATCCAGGACTGTTTGGCCAAAAACTCAGGAACATGAAAAAAAAAAAAAAAGTCTGGGGACCATATATTATGTTTGGAAAACTTCTGCCTTGTGTAGGCCATGTCTGTGATCAGAAAGATAAGCTAGGCTTATCTTCATTCCTTTCTGGAAAGCACATATCTTTAGATTAAACATTGCTGGCAAAATTCCAGAATTTCCATTTCCTTAGTAACTGAGCAGGGTAATAAATTGGATAAAAGCATCTGCTATTTTTCAAGTCATCTGTGTTGTGCAAAAGTCTCACCCAGACACCTGGATTGTTTTTCAAAAACCATGACTTTCTTTTTCCTTTAAACGAACATATAATGTATTATTTGTTTCAGGGGTGCAGGTCTGTGATTCATCAGTCTTACACAATTCACAACACTCACCATAGCACATACCCTCCCCAATGTCCATCACTCAGCCAACCCATCTCTCCCATCCTCCTCCCCTCCAGCAACCCTGTTTGTTTCCTGAGATTAAGAGTATCTTATGGTTTGTCACCCTGTCTGGTTTCATTTTGTTTCATTTTTCCCTCCCTTCCCCTGTAACCCTCTGTCTTGTTTCTCAAATTCCTCATAGCAGTGAGATTATAAGATAATTATCTTTCTCTGATTGACTTATTTTGCTTAGCATAAAACCGTCTAGTTCTATCCGCATCTTTGTAAATGACAAGATTTCATTTTTTTGATGGCTGCATAGTATTGCATTGTATATATATACCACATCTTCTTTATCCATTCATCTGTTGATGGACATCTAGGTTCTTTCCATAGTTTGGCTATTGTGGACATTGGTGCTATAAACACTGGGGTGCACGTGCCCCTTCAGATCACTACATTTGTATCTTTGGGGTAAATACCCAGTAGTGCAATTGCTGGGTTGTAAGGTAGCTCTATTTTCAACTTTTTGAGGAACCTCCATACTATTTTCCAGAGTGGCTGCACCAGTGTGCATTCCCACCACCAGTAAAACAGGGTTCCCCTTTCTCCGCATCCTTGCCAACATCTGTTGTTTCCTGACTGGTTAATTTTAGCCATTCTGACTGGTGTGAGTTGGTATCTCACTGTGTATTTCCCTGATGCCAAGTGATGTTGAGCACTTTTTCACGTGTCTGTTGGCCATTTGGATGTCTTCTTTTCAGAAGTGTCCATTAATGTCTTCTGCCCATTTCTTGATTGGCTTGTCTGCCATTTTTTGATTGGATTCTTCATTGAGTGTTGAATTGGGTAAGTTCTTTATAGATTTTTGATACTATCCCTTTATCTGATATGTCATTTGCAAATATCTTTCCCCATTCTGTCGGTTGTCTTTTGGTTTTGTTGACTTTCCTTTGCTATGCAACAGCTTTTGATCTTGATGAACTCCCAATAGTTCATTTTTGCCCTTGCTTCCTTTACCTTTGGTGATGTTCCTAGGAAGATGTTGCTCTGGCTGAGGTCGAAGAGGTTGCTGCCTGTGTTCTCCTCAGGATTTTGATGGATTCCTGTCTCACATTGAGGTCTTTCGTCCATTTGAGTCTATTTTTGGGTGTAAGGAAATGGTCCAATTTTATTCTTCTGCCTGTGGCTGTCCAATTTTCCCAACACTATTTGTTGAAAAGACTGTCTTTTTTTCCATTGGACATTCTTTCCTGCTTTGTCAAAGATTACTTGTCCATAGAATTAGTCCATTCCTGGGCTCTCTGTTCTGTTCCATTGATTCGTGTGTCTGCTTTGTGCCAGTACCATACTGTCTTGATGATTATAGCTTTATATTAGAGCTTGAAGTCTGGAATTGTAATGCTACCAACTTTGGTTTTCTGTTTTCAACATTCCTCTGGCTTTTGGGGTCTTTTCTGGTTCTATATAAATTTTAGGAGTATTTGTTCCATTTCTTTGAAAAAAGTTGATGGTATTTTGATAGGGATTGCATTAAATGTATAGATTGCTCTAGGAAACATAGACATTTTCACAATACTTGTAAAATATTTGTGAAATATCTATGAACATGGAATGTTTTTTCCATTTCTTTGTGTCTTCCTTAATTTCTTTCATGAGTACTCTATAGTTTTCTGAGTACAGGTTCTTTGTCTCTTTGGTTAGATTTATTCCTAGGTATCTTATGGTTTTGGGTGCAATTGTAAAGAGAAACTCCTTAGTTTCTCTTTCTTCTGTCTTGCTGGTGTATAGCAATGCAACTACTTTCTGTGCATTGATTTTATATCCTGACACTTTATTGAATTCCTGTTCAAGTTCTAGCAGTTTTGGTATGGAGTCTTTTGGGTTTTCCACAAAAAGTATCATGTCATCTGCAAAGAGTGAGAGTTTGACTCCTTCTTTGCTGATTCAGATGCCTTTTATTTCTTTTTGTTGTCTGATTGCTGAGGCTAGGACTTCTAGTACTACGTAGAATAGCAGTGGTGATAGTGAACATCCCTGCCATGTTCCTGACCTTAGGGGAAAAGCTCTCAGTTTTTCCCCATTGAGAATGATATGTGCTGTAGGTTTTTCGTAGATGGTTTTGATGATATTGAGGTATGTACACTCTGTGCCTACCCTGTGAAGAGTTTTGATCAAGAAAGGATGCTATACTTTATCAAATGCTTTTTCAGCATCTATTGAGAGTATCATATGGTTCTTGTTCTTTTATTAATGCATTGTATCACATTGATTGATTTATGGATGTTGAACCAACTTTGCAGCCCAGGAATAAATCTCATTTGATCGTGGTGAATAATCCTTTTAGTGTACCTTGGAATCCTATTGGCTAGAATTTTGGTCAGAATTTGTGCATCCATGTTCATCAGGGATATTGGTCTGTAATTCTCCTTTTTGATGGTGCCTTTGTCTGGTTTTGGGATCAAGGTCATGCTGCCCTCAAAAAATGAGTTTGGAAGTTTTCCTTCCATTTCTATTTTTTGGAACAGATTCAGGAGAATAGCTAAAATCTAATTAGTCTGATACAAGAATTGCCACCCCAGCTTTCTTTGCATGTCCATTGACATGGTAAATTGTTTTCTACCCCCTCACTTTAAATCTGGAGGTGTCTTTGGGTCTAAAATGAGTTTCTTGCAGACAGCATATCAATGGGTCTTGTTTTGTTTTGTTTTGTTTTGTTTTTTATCCTTTCCGATACCCTGCGTCTTTTGATTGGGACATTTAGCCCATTTACATTCAGGGTAACTACTGAAAGGTGTGAATTTAGTGTCATTTTATTGCCTGTAAGGTGATTGTTATTGTATATTGTCTCTTTTCCTTTCTGGTCCGTTACTTTTAGGCTCTCTCTTTGCTTAGAGCACCCCTTTCAATATTTCCTGTAGGGCTGGTTTGGTGTTTGCAAATTCTTTTAGTTTTTGTTTGTCCCAGAAGCTTTTTATCTCTCCTATTTTCAGTGCCAGCCTAACTGGATGTAGTATTCTTGGCTGCATTTTTTTTTTTTTTTTTTTCTTTTAGTGCTCTGAATATATCCTGCCAGTCCTTTTTGGCCTGCCAGGTCTCTGTAGATAGGTCTCCTGCCAGTCTATTATTTCTACCATTGTATATTACAGACTTCTTGTCCTGAGCTGCTTTCAGGATTTTCTTGTTGTCTCTGAGACTTGTAAGTTTTTATTATTAGATTACAGGGTGTTGACCTATTTTTATTGATTTTAAGAGAGCTTCTCTGTGCCTCCTGGATTTTGATGCCTGTTTCCTTCCCCAAATTAGGGAAGTTCTCTACTTTAGTTTGCTCCAGTATACCTTTTGCCCCTGCTTCTTCTCCTGGGATCCCAATTATTCTTATATTTTTTCATCTTATGGTATCACTTATCTCTTGAATTCTTCCCTTGTGATTCAGTAGTTGTTTATCTCTCTTTCTCAGCTTCTTTATTCTCCATCATTTGGTCTTATATTTCACTGATTCTCTCTTCTCCCTCATTTCTTCTAGCAGTAAGGGCCTCCATTTTTTATTGCATCTCATTAATAGCTTTTTTTATTTCAACTTGATTAGATTTTAGTTCTTTTACTTCTCCAGAAAGGAATTTTATTTCTCCAGAAAAGAATTCTCTAGTATCATCTATGCTTTTTTCAAGTGCAGTTAGCATCATTATAATTGTCATTCTGAACTCTAGTTCTGATATCTTACTAATGTCCGTACTGATTAGGTCCCAGCAGTCGGTACTGACTCTTGTTCTTTTTCTTGAGGTAAGTTTTTCCGCCTTGTCATTTTGTCCAGAGAAGAAAAGATGAATGAGAGAACAAAATGCTAACGGGTAACAACGGTTCCAGAAAA